TGTTTGACGCCAATTGATCCGTTAACCATTCTAAGCATAAGACTTATATTGAAAAAGTTTTTAAAGATCTAACGGAAAGTATATAAGTACAATCGAAGCCAAACATGTTTTTTTTGTTAGGTACAGTAGTAGTAGATGAGGATAGTCGAGTATTGATGACATTGACTATGTCTCTATATACGTAATTGATTGATGTTTAGTTTTGGGGATAAAGTTGCATATATTTCAATATTATGTTATACTACTGTTTGTAGATGATATGATATTTTTATAAGCAACACATACGTACGGGGATGATGCATTGCATTAATTATAAACACATTATATTCTACTATGTGTAACACACTTCAAAAGATTTGAAGCCTTTTGAATGATGTATTGTGTTAATTGTTGTTTAATTACGTTCACTCATATTCATGACGTTCAAGGGCACTGGATATTCAAAAGAATCATGTAAAATGTGTGGATACTTCGATTTCACTGCATTTAAGAAGCGTTGAAAGTGCCATATACTTTCTCCACGATTATTGAGACGCAATATCCTCTCGTAAGACATACTGGGTCTGAAAACAGGGACAAAAGAATACATAGGCAATTTATCCCGATTTCAAAATTTGTAAAGCCGAAAACAGGAAAAGGATATGGAAATCGAGTTTAAAGCTCTATAGCTTAAAACATTGTTATCAGTGTTTGTTCGATAATCTTACTAATTATTACATTAGTAGATACATGAAAAGTGAAGATGACCAGAGAGGAAGAGCTAATCAGTCGTGGGACTGGCAGCAGAAGCCAAACCCTTTGAGAGAGTATTGTTTTCCGAGTCTCGTATCACATGCTTGCATCTATATAACATATTCGTAGCTCTGCACCTGCAAATATTGCAGTGTTACCATTGAGGTGCACACAAGATTGNGATTCGTGCTAATTACAAATCTCAGTTTTAAGTATAAAATACCAACCCTTCTTCTACATCGCAAAGAGTCTTCAACCTTGCATCTGCATTCTGCAACCATAATATGTGCGCATTGGGATCTGTGTACATTCAAATTAGTCATCAGTTTCTTTCTCATAAACATGTGAATTCTTGACTTGGCATTAAAAAAGAAAAAGAACAAGTGAAAATATTATTACCACAGTCATGATTGTAGAAGGATGGGAGCAAATAAACGGCATGGCCAACTGCACCTTCACTTTCAACAGAAGCTGCAGCCAGTAAAAGAAGGTCTTCACCACATGAGCCTCCAACCAAATCAATACGAAATGCATTGATACGAATCCGGGCGAGCATACCCGAAATACAATACCAAAGAGATGAAAACCAGAACGCTCGAAATACAATGGATTTGATGTAAGATATAGCTCCAAGGATACAANCAACATCTTCATCCTTGAATTTTGCCTTCCTAAAGGCATCCATAGTAAACCATAACCGTCTTCCATCTGAAACCATAACAAGTCAGTGACTATCCGAGAACAAACCACTTTGTGAGGCCAAATGAATTCATCTTGAGATTGTTATGTTATTACTATGGCTGTGATGAATATTACATAGTGTAATGCATGAACAATCAAATCGAATACANGAGACTCTGGAATGTAATCCAAAGTTTGCATAACTTGCTATGTATGCAATCAGCCCCGTCTCTTTCGACTCTATAGTTTGAATATCTCCGAATCTGCCTCGACGACTTTTTGGTCAAATGATACTTGCTCCTCATACATCAGAAAGCTGTTCCCAAACAATGCAATCTTGGGCAATCCATCCATTCACCAGTTTACTTGCGATATGTCCTCGTACAGATTTGCCTCACAGTGTGGCATGAAGAAAAGAGTTGGCTTTAACCCTGCGAGTTTGTTCATCTACGGGATAGAACGGTGCATTCCGGAGATTTTGGGACGCTAGATTCCGTTGCAGAGAGGATTGGATCGAATACTTCAATGTTATTACCAACCCAATCAAACTCTCTCTTCATCAAGATTGCAACGCGACTCGATGCTGCCTATACCATACCTCACCATCTGCAGCTGTGTTTCAGAGCCTAACACGAGGCGAACGTGGTTTGACTACTCAGGAGACTTGAGCTGTTCTAACCTTGTGAGGCGACTTCTTTGGGCTGTTTCTCATGTATCCAAGGCCGTATGCATCATTCAAGCCGGTGAAAACCGCTGCTGCATTTGATCCATCTTGCTTGTTTCAGCATTTGATCCATCAGTTGGTTTCGCATCACACACGGCAATAGGCCCTCAAAATGGACCATCTTGTATACCACAATATTACCATCTGAACGAGATGTCTCGAGGTAAAATGTCTGGGAATACATTAGAGATGGAATACATTGGTGTATAACCCACTGAAGAAGTCATGGGATGGTCACCAGTGGATAATATTGACTGCTTTTTAACAAATCTCTCATCTGCCATTGCTTGAATATACATCTAAACCTAGCTAGAGATCTGAGCGAAACCCTAGGGAGCACATCGCCTAGCAAAGTTTCCTCTTTTAGTCGCGAATTGAGCAGCATTCCAAGTGTGATTTGAGTACATATACATATAACTCTTGAAGCCTATGGAGAGTTAGAGAGAAAACATCTTCAATCTGCACACACATACACAAAAAATGTGATTCAGAATACACTACTCAGGATTTAAATTAGTACGAGTAGATAATAAGGTTCTTGCAACTATCCATAGAGAGATAGATGTATTCAAAGTGAGACACGTATTCAAAGTGAGACACTAGATACTCAGGTTCTTGATGAAATGCTTGTGTCCTGATGACTTCCGGGACAAACGAGAGAGAGCTGGTTAGATATAAGAACCCAGATGCATATCATGTTTATGTATATATATCCATTGATATTCTATATGAAATACTTAGGAGGAACCTTTCCGGTTCTTGCAGTTCGTCGTACTTCCCTTCATTTTATATCTTACCAGCCTATAAAAATTCTCAACTACGTCTTAACTCTGTTCTTGATTCTGAAAATAATGCGCATTCTACCATGTCCACCTCTATTGCAATCTCTAAGCTAAGATGTCAAGACAGCGAGCAAAGAACTCTACAACAATATCTTTATACAACTGCAAACCATCAGATGCATGTAGCCTATCAAATAACAATGAAACTCATATTGAAAATACGTTTTCATATGCCTGGGCCGGATAATAACTTAGAAAGCATGCGCCAAATTCTGTCTTAATCATATCCATTACAACCAATACCTCGCCTAGTGCATCAAATTAGTTGGCCATTCAAATCTAAAGCCTAAATTAATAGGTAATTCCAAGATTTCATCAATCGAAAGTGTTAAGATCAGCTATTGCTTTCACTCAATCATCATTTCAGAGACGTTTTAATAGGAAAGACATCGACCACATGTGAAACTGGGGAAACAATGTACCTGTAAAAATGGACTAATCGCCTCTTAACGGCAGCTGATCAAGCTCGGTCACTAGCTCCGTCAACTCAACCTGATTTTCATTTCTGCATTGCAACAACTGCCTCCTTAGATCTCGTACCAGCTCATTAAGCTTCTGAATATTCTTTTCTTGAGAGAGAATTTTCTGCCACAAAATAGATAGTCATATGATCATTAGATCATACTATGAAGCATATCCCTTTGCAATTATCTCTTCTGGAGACTATACCAACAATGATGCAGGAGAAAGAAGCTCTTGACGATAAAGAAACTTAAGCGATACACTGAAACAGAATGTGTCACAGACTCACAGAGAAAGCATTTGGACAAGTTAAGTAATCAGTTTAGGAACCCATCTCCTTCCTTAAAATCA